CTGGTTTGTCACTGTCTTGCTGATACGTCTCATTCCTGGAGGTCGAAAGATTAAATACTTCACTGTAGGGATGCACCGATACTGATACTGGTATCGGGTGTCAGATCGATACCCCGATACCAGTAGGACATCTGAAAGCTAGATAGCACCGGAGCACAAAAACAACCAACTATTCAACATAGCATTTGTAGGAGTGGAATATGACAGTGAATATAACAATAATTACTCCTGGATGGATGGATGGATGGATGGATGGATGTTATTGTTAAAACATGTTCTTATTGTTGAAACAAGTAATAATAAGAATTCCCAGGGATAACCCAATTCATTACTTATATCGGTTCTCGGTATCGGCAAGTACTCAAATTAAGGTACTCATACTCGTATCGATTTTGAAAAAAGTGCTATCGGTGCTATCTTCACTGTATACGTCACAGCAAAACGCCACGTCTTCTATTGCGGACGTCAGAAGCATTTTTGGCCTGTTGCGCTGACCCAAAGTATTTTATTGTGCACTTCCTGGATATGTTTTTCACATGGGGATAAATTAGAGCACAGAAAGCGGCCTTTAACACTAATGGCTGTCATCACTGTGGGAGAAGAATACTCCAGTTGTTGTCTTGTGGCTGCTGCAAGCCTGTTGTGCTCATAAATATTTCCAAGTGAGAAGCCGGGGAAAAGGAGGGAAGGCCAGAAGCAGCACGATTAGCAGGCGCTGCGGCTAGGGACTGCTGTTGTCAAGCGGACACACTGTACCCGAATATCACATTGTGAGACCTCATAATTATAGTCTTTGCCGTGGTGTGTGTCAGGCTTGGTAAACAGGAAGTCCCCCCCCACACACACACACACCTGGAATTGACAGAGCCAAAAAGGAACTTGAGGCCTTTAGAGGAGCTTTTGTATCTCTTCCGTCGCTGTGCCGATTCTATTCAGACACTAATCAATGCTTATTTGAGCCAATTTATGTATCTTTGTACAAGGTTAGTGTGCACATGTGTGGCATCCTCTGTGTCTCGGGAGGTCATGTCAGAGCCAATAGTAGGTTTGTGCCTCATAATGACCGATAGTGAAAGGCATTTGTAGAGCCATGCTTGCTTATTATCAGCTGTGCACCATCAAAGAGCATTATCTGTAATTACAAGTGCTCTGAGGCCCACTCCAGGCCATCCCGACTAAGAGCGCCATCTGCTGAAGAGCTACCTTGATTGCCCTGATATCTCGTACAGTTTTGGTAAATGAAATAGTTGTTTATCTAAATACATACTTAGAGATTGGTTATTGGAAAGGTCACCAATTATTTATTTTTTCTGGAGGGACGGGGTCTGAGAATTATTTCAGTTTTATTCCAACGTTTTTAAACATCAGCAGGTAAGAGTATCAGACAAAATCCAAACTCTGGTGACTTTACAGGCCGCTAATAGACCGCGAGCATTGACCACATATTAGGAGCGGAATGGCCGAGCACTGACGTCACCCGTAGCGTTTGCCAAATGCGGAAAAGCCGATTTTAACACGAGCTACAGTAGCTGGAGACAATTTCCTTATGTGGATGAGGTTGGCTTTGGGCTATAGCCGGGGTATATACAAGCTAACGTGTCAATATGGTTGCTAAGGCGAGCCGGAGTATCCCCCGTGATTGAAGGCATCTGATTGGTCAAACCTCATGGCTGAATTATACGAAATCATAATATAATGATTGCTAAACCACAATTTTTATTAAGCCAATAATAGTGAGAGTGAATAAGAAGAGGAGTTTATACTTTTCAAGGTATGTCAATAGGTGCCTGAGCAAGTAAACTCCATTCATGAGCACTTCCCTAGTGGGCTTCATTGAGCTAGTGGGTTTGCTGTGTGTCCATCTATAAAAAGACCGCGAGCCAACTACTGGAGATCCATGACGTTTGCCGTTGCTGACTAAATGTGCTACATGCTTTTGATCCCCCGGCAAAAGCCATAGGTGTAAGATATGTTATGATTAAATGTATTTTGTGTCTTTTTTAATATATAAACCCAGTTCTTGGTCAACGTGAATTTGTTCAATAATCTTGCCCTTGTATTGAAACAGTTTTAATAGATCGATTTCACAGTGTCAATGGTTTTCTGTTTTGTTTGTTTTATTTCTGTACTTTTGACCTTGTTTTATTGATGTACTTGTCTTGTGCACACTGGGGACTTTTGCAAATGTATTCCATTGTGGTTTAAAGTAGCAATATGTAAGATTGTTATGTCAAGTGATCATTAAATGACCCTAATATGTCAAAATTAAAACATGCTCTTTTCCAAAACTTCTTTTAACTAATAACTGTAGTTCATACAAGACATTTGAATTTATAAATCAGTTTTACAGCCCCATTTTCATTTTGATGTCCCGCCCTCCACGGTTTTAACAATCAGAGATATCTGGGTTGCCAGAACTCACAGCGTCGGGCTAATTTCAAGGGTAAAGTAACATGTGGCTGCAGTCTCGTTATGATCCTCAAATCATTAATGACAAAAGAAGGAATAAAAACAGGATTTCTATTGGGGCCTTGGTGAAAAAGGTGTTGGTTATAGATTTGTTGTTGACAAAACTCTTGTCTATTCAGTTATAATTATTGTGGTCCCATATGGATTCGTCCGCAGATCTGGCAACCTGAGTCAGGGAGAGTGGGAGAGGTTGCAGTACCACTTTTGGCCAGATTTTTTACATACTGCTCCTTTAACTGCAAATGGCACATACAATGATTCTGAATCTGATTCTGATTTGTTATAATTAAATGAATGTTGTGTGTTTTTGAATATAAAAAAACCTAGAGGCCTCTAACACACTCAGTTTCCTTAGATGACAGAGTCAGTCAACCCTCCCAGAAAGATTCATTAAAGAAGGAAGACGCATTGAATCAAATTACGCACAAAGTTCTCATCTTCTCCTTCCTTTCTGCGGATGCATCAACAAATGTCACAAATACCATTGTCGTGTTGTGAAGAAGAGTGTTTGTGTGTGCCCATGCGACAGTCTCAGGCTTATATTTTCCCCAATCAGAGAGAAAAACAAAGCTAAACTATTTTGCCTAATTATTCACAACTACGTACTCTCATCAACGTATTATTTTTCCCCCCACATTTTCCAGGCTCTTCTCCCGCTCGTCTCTCCTGGCGTCTCGTGCTTTGCAGTGTTTTTCTTTTGATCTGAGCTGATTTGCCTGCTGTGCGTGCCAGTAACATGTAAAAAGTCAGGTGTAGCACAAAATATAATAACAAGAAAAATGACAAGTTGAAGAAGGTCTTGTAAAAATTCTGCACAATTTTACTAATACTGGTGATTATACAGTCTGCTCCAATCTTTTTTATCTTTGGAAGCTTAAAACAAAAGTGATGTCCAATTTGTATTGTGGTGCAACTAATGTGAAGTTTGCTAAGAATTTCTACCTGTAATTTGGACATAACTCATCACATTTTTAGAAGCGTGAAACTCTTTTGCTATATTATATCCCATTATAGTTTATGTTTCTATATACTATCATGGTTTGCAGGTAACATAATTCAGTAGGAAATGCATCGAAACACAGAATTCTGATTTAATTATTAGAACAAGAAATGAAATATTGTCCTATATTCAAACACCTGCATATCTTAAAAGAACCAGATACGTGTTTTTTCTTTTTGCTATGTGTTTGCATTGAGAAAACTTGTTTATGTTTATTTTTTTTATCATAATTGATCAGTGGACCAGACCAGAAAGTGAAAATCAGTTAAATACAACAAAAGGAGAAAAGGAAAATCCCAGAAGGAGCTCTTTTCCTTCTTTCCTTCTCCAGACAAAGCAGCGATAGGCGTGGTCTGCACAGGCCGTATATTAGGGGTGGACTCACCAAGTGCTGTTTTCACCCACAGTATTTGTCGAATGCGGAAGAAGATGATCTAAAAATAAGCTAGCTGGAGCCAATTTCCTTATATGGGTATTTGTTTCGATGTTTCGCACCATAACAGGGGCAGACATGTTCGCTCTTCTCTGGATTTATAAAGATAATATCAACATATAAACAGCAGGATCATAGAGAGTGCTGAAGGATGTATCTTTTTAGATGAGCCCAAAATGGAGTGAGACACAAACGGTGAATGAGCAAGAGAAGTTTACTTTTCAATAGTTGTCCATAGGAGCCAGAATGAGTGGGAGCAATACTTTTGTCCATGAGCACTTCCCTAATGGACTTCATTGAGTTAGCAGTGTCCATATACACATATTGAATTTTCCATACAGTCTAAGGTGGACAGTCAATCGGACTCTTACGGCCTCACACCTCACATCACAGACAGCTCGGATGATGTGAGCAAACAATTCATTTACACGTTGATTGTGATTTGATATGATAAAAATGTTGCTTCTCTTATGTTCACCAAAATAACAACAATCTAAATACTTTGTGAGAGGTGAGAGGACAAGTGTGATCTTGCCCAGCGTGTTCTACATTTTAAATACGAAATATTTCATATTCTGAATTGATGCCTGCATTATAGAGGTCATAAATGTTAATGAGGCAATTTATTATTAGGGCTTTCCATTTACTATCCCTCTATGAGATATATTAAAGACCTTTATAAGAAACTATTTGCAGTAACTACTGTGTTTGTGATTGTATGAACTATAAAAGCTCACAATGAGAGTTTGTGATGAACGGAGACTTCCTTCGATGAATATTAGTCCTTCTGAGACAAAGGTGCTACTATTTTCAGGTTGCTCCTCTCTCAAAGACTCTCCTGTTTCCTCTGCTGTATGTGTTGTTCTATCGCTGAAGGCTTTGGTTTAATGACCCATCTTGGCTCCAGATCTGAGCCGTGTCACAGCATTCCCTCGTCTCCTTCCCTTCAGCCATTTTACCTCCTAGGGCTGGCTTTGTCCACCGCACATCTCCCACGCTTTTGTAAGAGAAACCCAAACAAAGTTTGTAACTGGCCGACAGCGAGGAGAAAAATGTTGCATGCTTTGAACCGTAGAAGAAAATGAAGAATGATTTTGATTACCTTTGTATTGGTCCAGAGAGGTCGGTGGCATCTTGCCTGTAACAGAAGAAAACGATAAAAGATTATTGTTTCATTCATCTATTTCATCTGAAGCCAGGATCGGACCAGATGCATCATGGACACTGGTCTGAGCAAGAAGATGGCGGGAAAACAGGTATTCTCATAAAAATGCATAACTGAAACATGTTATTTATACTATGTAGGTGTCCCATGTACATTTCCATCACCATGGAGATACCATTATTGTCAGTGCTCAGCGTAAGTGAATCATTGTGATGATCAATAACATATAAATGAGACAAACAGAAAAGTGGGTTAGCAGATGGAAATAGCTTTTTCTGCTATAATCTGGTATTTTCACACTGTATCTGCAGATGTTAATGGATATGCACTGTCCATAAAAAATAACACATTTTTTTTCTGTCATACTGAATCTTTACTCTTTTAAATGCACTATGGCTATTTATGATTTGAATCCCATGTGTGATTTTTACCTTTTAATGGTTTCCTCGACCATTGATCACCTTTTGAGTCTACTTGAAGCTTAGAACTGAAATATACAGTACATCATTGGGCCATTTCTATCACTTGGTTTTAGGCACTTTTACCATCAAACTGCATCTCAACCATTTGGTAAAAGACTATCATTAAAAAAATAAACATAAAAACTACAAATTTACATTGCTTTCTTCAAGTAGTGAACCTTAACGTCTTAAGTTTTTTTATTACTTGTGTGTATTTATTTTCTATGTTATTAATATTTCTTGTGATCCTAATGTTTGCTTTTAATCATATTTTTTATGTTTAAATAGATTTAAATGATTTATGCCTGATGTGATATGGGTTGTGAGGTTGTGTTGCCTTGCGTAGGTAAAAGGCGCTATAAAAATAAAAGTTGATTGATTGAAGCTAAACATGAACATGAAGCTAATACAAATGTACGATAATAACTGGGATAACATCAACGTTATTTAGCGGAATGAACGATAAGCATCAATCAGAAACCACTCTGGCCTTTGTCATATAAATTCAGCTTGTGGCAGGGATGTGCTGAGGAAGTCACTTAATCCATGGGGTTTTCTTTGTAATTCCACTGTTCCTTCTTCCCCTTTTTTATTCCATCCCCGGCCCTCTGCTCTTCTTTCTACTGCATGTAAATAAATTAGTCCCTGGGCTCCACCATTCCTAACTGCGTGTCTGAGTAAGCCACCATTACACTCATTGCACAACACTGGCCACAATCCTCTGGAGCAGTGTGACGTGCTCTGAATATTGTGGCCAAATGAAACAAATATAATACTCTTATCTCATTCCTAATTACCTCTATCTATGTGTGTGTGTGTGTGTGTGTGTGTGCCCGCCTGTGTGTTTAGAGCCTTATGATGAAATTTGAAGGGAAAAAATAACTTGCTCCTCCTCATACATAGAAGCCAATCGGATCACTGCGCTTTGAATTTCAAAGCCGTATTCTTGTCTGTTTCATCTCCACCACAGAACGCTCATCCTGTTATCCTGCTACATGCACTCATACACACGCGCACGCTTTACGCTTCAGTCCATTTTCACCCAGCCATGAATTATCCAGCAGGGTAAATGGAACATATAACACACATGATTGTGGATCTTTACACACACAATATCAAGGAATCAAAAAATACATTGGATGCAACATTAGATAGTGTATTTATAGCCACTTACAGCCACTTTTCCAGGCTTAAGTTGTAATAATTAGTTTTAGTAATTAGGGAAACCATGTTTATTGTGGAAAGTTTCCAGATTTAAACTCTTGTAGGTCTGTTGTTGGTCGATTAATTGGTCGGTGGCGTCCTATTCAACAAAACAATGTATCAGTCCATTTAATCAAATATTTGTATTGTAATTACAAAGATTTATATTGGAAAAAATAAAATGCAGAAGATATAGTGCAGTTCGGTCGCCATGTTGTGTTCTTGTGGTTTTAAAGGGACAAATAAAACGTTTATTTCACATTTTAAAATCTGGTTACGTTGTTTTCTCATGCTAAAGTTGCGTTGCATGAAACTGAAATTGACTACGTTTTGAAAGTTTTTTGCCAAATTTTTGGTCAACTAATTGAGTGTCTTTAGTCCATGAGGAATATGAAAGCAGCCCTAGTTTTGTGTGTCGATAGTTCTATTATAAGTACATTTCTGGATCATAAATGTTTCTAAAAAAGAGCATTTAAATTACTTTTCAACTTGTGTAGAGCTGAGATTTTTTTAAACCTGGCCGTGCTCATTTTTATATCTATTATATTTTCAAGACAGAGATTTTATACTTATTATTGATGCTAGAGTTAGATTGTTTTAATTTTGATTAGTATAGCTATTGTTCACTTAACATGTGCTGTGTGCTCCTCTTTTCTACTGTTCTATAACCTGTGATGCAATACCAAAATTTCTCCACTGTGGGACAAATAAAGGATCTCTTAATCTTAATCTTAATCTATTTTGAATATACTATTAAAATAACAAAAAAATACACACTGTACATAACAGAACAGTGATCCATGAAATACGTTTAACTGATTTCACCATAATCACCATCTTAAATGTTGTTTTCTTTTAAACATGTTTGAGAAAGTGGCGGGCAACAAAAGATTATTTTCTTCTTTCTGATCTTTTTCATTTGTGTGACAGAACTACAATTATTTAAAATGTAATTGTAAAATGTGATGTATTGTCATGTCCATTAGTGAAATAAATAAATGTTGTGATGAATAGATTAGGGTGCCTGGGGTGCAAAGAACACAAATGTAAAACAATCATTTACATACTAACAATAAATAATATAATTGTTTCAGACATAAACGTCAAATCGTCAAGGACCGAGTAATGCGTTATTAATTTAAAAAGTAAAATAATATGTTTTGATTCTGAAGTGTTTGACTGTGAGTATGCATTGGCGAGCTCAGATATGGGTCAGATGTGATCACTGGGATGGAAACAGATGGGCAGCCATGTTCGGGTGGACCGGAGCCAGACTTGTGCTCCGCAACAGTCACATTTGGCTCCGTATCCTGACTGCAGAGGGGGGCCTGGTCTCACCCCGCCCCAGGCCAGGGCCGACGTGAAACAGAGCCTCAATACGAGAGCCATGCAACTGAGCAGGTGGTGGACTGATTCCATATAGTCCATATTCTAATGGGCAGAAATCGAAATGGAAAATATAAAAGTAAAAAATAGTGACTATTCTGTGCTATTTAAGTCAACTACATTAAATATAACCAATGGCTTAAAACCTGTTATTTGGGGATTCACAGAAATTAAGCTGCTGAGATGTTGCACAAATGGTTTTCACTGTTTTTTTCTTCCCACTCCCGTTCTCTCCTTTTTTTTTGCACAATTTGCGTCATTCTCACACTGTTTTTAACACATCTCTCTTCTCACCTGCCAACCTGCCATTCACACACACCCCACCTGGCACATGCACCACACATTCAGCCTCTTCCTATAAACCGCCATCTTTAAGCCCTGATAATAGAGGGGTATATTGCGGACTGTATGTATTTTTGGAGTCCTGGGCATAGATGTATTTTAAAGCTGTCCAACGGTGAGACACGTAGAGAATTGTCAAGATGCATTGGCACAAGAAATGCTCATAAAGTGTACATGCATTAAACTTGTTCCAATCCTATGGGACACTGCCTTGTCAGCCAAAACATGATACGCAAAACATTATTAATGGTCTGGTCAGGTCCCTGTTTGGCAGCGGTTGGTTTGTACATCACAAGAACAGATGACTTACATTCTTAGTCCTTCAGTTGCATTGTGTAATCCGGGTAAAAGACCATATATAGATTTGTATGGATCTAAAATACATAAATATAAAATAAAATAAAACGCACACAATGGTTTTGGTATGAGGTAAGAATAGTCAAAGGAAGTTAGATATACATGGTTAGATATATAGTACTTTTCCTCCTTCGACCACTCACACATTTTCTATTTCAGAATAAACGGATGACGGCATGAGAAATCCAATTAATTGTATGCATAAACCAAAGGTTGTGACAGTGGAAGCTTTCATGCATGCCGGTGACATATTGAGGACATTTAACTGGAGCTAAAGAAATGACCTGATTGATAAAGGGTGAATAAAATGGAGAATTGGTTGTAGAATGTCAGGCCTCATTTGCCGTGTGATATTCAATGGCTATGAGAAACGCATTAGCTCCAGGTGTATGAGCAGTGTAGAGCCAAAGCGCCTTCAGTGCTCACTGAAAAACCAACCATCAGAGAAAAGACCTTTATTCTGTTTTCTCATCTTAAAACCCTTGCGATGCCCCCCCATACCCATACCCACACCCCCCCCACATCCCACATTTAATAACAGCGGCTCGGCACAGCACAATGCGCCCAGACCTCCTCACACATGCAAATGCACATAGTGTTATAAAGACATGCATTACTAATGATATGCTTCTGAGATGCAATCAAAATGGGTCTGTTAGTGCCCGACGCGTAGTTAATTTAAGAATGAATTAATGTAGGCATGTCCAAAGTCTGGCACATGGGGCGATCACATGTCATTTATATGGCCCTCTGTCTTGCAAAGTAGTGTCATCCTCTTGAATCCATATGACATTAATTTCTGATTGTGAATCACTGTATTGAGCTTGTGAGAATGTGAGAATGTGAATCAAAAAGGACATGATATCATACCTCATGTTAAAGCTCAGAACTGCCCTTTTCCAGATCCAACAAGTTATTCAATCCGGGTTGTGGGCCCCTGGTGAACTAGTGGCCGTCTTACTTAAACGTTTTGACACCCCTGTGTTCATTTTGCAGTGGTAAATCTGAGCTTATTGGAAAAGTAATCTTTCTGGGTGTGTTTGAAATCTGTTTTTACAGTCTTCCACATGTGTGTGAGTGAATCTGAACCACATGCCATATTACAGCACAAGTCTGCTGGATTACAACAATATAGTCTGCAATCGCACGCCCTGTTGAAACCCTCCAAAGTGTAATATCATTGCCATTCTTTCGTTCAGAAGTTGCTCACCTTGAAATAAATAT